TGCATCTTGTGCGAGTTACAAGGCATTGAACTAACTGAAGTCTTTGAAAATTCCAATTACAAAGATTATTTAATTTAGCAGTTTTGAGCTCAAAATTACAGCTCAGTTGAAGTGAATTCCCACTCAACATTTGGCAGAAGAAGGTGCAATAAATACCAAAACATAGAAAGAGCTGAAATGAGAAATATTTAGTAGGGTGTTGCTTTCATGGTGGCAATTGGTATTATTAAAGGGAGAAAAGTTTTCCTTTGTGAAAGGATGGCCTAAGGCCACACCATTGACTCCATTATGCCCACTTTGCTTGGTATACATTTGGTGGGGGTCAAGAAGCATTCATGGTTGAAGTGAAAGAGTGATGTCATTACAGAGCACTCCATAGTGCATATGCATATTCAATGGACTATGTCTGCACTGCAGATTTATAACAATCAAGATATACTTGGCTGAAACTGTTTCAAATGGGTTATGATCTCTCTGTCTCTCTCTGTCTCTCTCATATATATAGCCAAGATGGCATAGACTGATAAGACACTAGTTTCGTGAATTCAAGTACACATCTATCTTAGCAACAATAAGGAACTTATGTCTTAATATAGGATCAAAGTTTAACAGGATATCTAATATGTCTATTATATAATAAACACGTGTATGTAAGTTAGGAATGGTTTACATCAAATATTAAACTTAGATAAACTATACTTTTAATCATTTTTTAAATAATTCAAATTTAATGAACCTAATTCTTGAATCTATGTTCTCATTAGTTAGATGATGATGCAAAATTATTTCAGAGTTGATCATGTTATTTTAAGTTTCAATTCATTCTTTATTAATTTTTTTGTTTATTTAATATTCAAAATTCTATATTTTTCAATTAAACTTACTTTTTTATTTATTTTAGTTTTTGTGATCCAATCATAAAAAATCACATGATATATTCAACAAAACTAAACCCAAAATAACATGTGAAGACAATTAAGTAAGATAATGAGAAGGGATAATTATCATCTCACTTAGTTAAAAAATATTAATTAATAAAAACTTAATTAAAAAGTATAACTTCTTTAGTACTATAAAAATTTAATAGAAACTGAATTAAAAATATCTAAATTTATTAAAAGTTAAAATTTAATTAAGCCTTCAATATATATATAATATTAATAATTAAATAACATATTTATACAAATTTATATTATGTAAAATTTGACTGAGATTATCATTAAAAAAAATTGTGAGTTCACTTGTAGATCTCACTATTTATTATTACCATCCTAACAAAAATACAACAGTACAGTGTTTTCTTTTTCTTTTAGTCAAAGACTTGCAAAGACTTTCAAAAGATACCAAAAATTAAATAAAGATATCGTGATTTAATTGTAATACACAAGCTGATAGGTAATAATATTATAGTAAGGTAGTAAAGTATATTTATACTCATCCTTATGAGAGATAGATTCCAGCCCATGTTCTGTTAAATAACAACTTTTATTGTCAATTTTCATGCTTGTACTCATGTGTATGCTTAAAAACTTATTACACATATATTTCAATGTACTATTTATCAAAATAATAAAATAGAATCATCATTTTGATATTAAGTTAATTAAGAAAAATAGAAAAATAAATTAAGTGTGCGATATATTAATTAAAAACTACTTAAAGATATTTCAGAATCAGGTTATGAAATTAGTTCATTATATATTTTTTTAATTAATTTGTATTTATTGCTAATATAACACTTAATTACATTAATATTCAAAAGGAATTTATCATTTCATTATATCATCCTTTTCAATAGCATGAAGTGATATTCATAGTAGATTAAAAGAGTGAAAATATATATTTCTTATAAATTGGATTGAAATGTATGAGCTCATTTGAAAGAAAGTCAAAATAATGATAAATAGTTATGTTTCTCAAATGTTGGACTCTCAAAATAAGGGTATGATGCCCTTAAATGATATTTCATCCCAGTAATCGTGCATTTTCCTCAATTTTCAATAAAAATCTGACTCATCTACACTTTTTATATATAAATATAAAGTATTCAACCAAATTAACTTTTACTTTGGAACAAGTATTGTATATTTTAATTTTATCTCAATTAGTGCTTTTTCAATATTTTTATCACATAAACAAAATAATGAATTTTTATATAGTGACCACTGACTCTTAATTTTTAAAAAGATTCTTTCTATTAAATTAGAGTTTAAGTTCTAATAGAAATTTTTACTCTTATTTATTTTAAATTTCGGTTGTTCTTTACTTTTTCTTTTACAAAGTAATGTTTCGTGCATTAAAACATGATAAAATTCATAATTACACTATTTTTTTTATTGCTTTCTTATTTCCTTTTTTTTCTGCATTTATATATTTTGATACTGGAAAGAGTTGAGAAAAAAAGGGGTAAATTTTAAAATATGAGTTTCAAAATAAATTAAAAAATTAATAGATTTGTTGAACTATATAAGTTTAAATATTAAATATTCTCTATGTGTAATTTACTCTAATTTTATTCGGGGTTAGGTGTAACTAATTGGATAGTAAGCCAAAATTCATGTGGTTTTATTTTATTTTTGCGGTTGGAAAACATTGAGCAATATTGTATTGCATATGCCATTGCTTGCATGTTAGACATGGTAACGTGGCACAGCTGTTTGAGGTTGTCAGATTTTCTTACAGGTTATAACAATTCATTATAGGAAGAAGTAGGACTTCAGATCTTTCAAGGGAAACTTTCTTTTTATAGAGAAAACAACTTTCAAATTTTGATTCTAGAAAATGTTAAGCAATGTCTTAAGGGTAATCCTTTTAAAATTAAGGTTTACATATTCATTTGTTATTTATAATTATACACTTTTTTATTTTAATATTTTTGTATTCAATCTATACAAACGATCTTGGTTTTGTCTTATTTTTCTAATTAAAAATAATTTGGTGACATCTTTTTAATGTTGACGTGGGTTGAAGTATGATTAAGATTCTATATTTGGCTTTTAATTTTAATTTTGATATATGTTTAACGTTACCTTTCAGTTTATACACAAAAACACTTTTGTTTTAATTTCCACATTAGTACTCCAAATTTTGTTCTGATTAATATTATTGTTGTTAAAAATAGACGTCGTTTATAACTCATGAAGTTATGATGGTTGAGAAAGGACAAGTATATTTTTATTAATTTATTTTAAAATATTCTTATCTAAAATAAATAGTTCTGTTTTTAAATGTTATTATATTTAACAAATTTTAATTTAATTGGTTAATTCGTGCTATACGTAACATATGTTTTATAAAATCAGTTTGAATTTAGTGGAACTTATGATGTACAAATATGATATGTATTCGATATGTTTGTTTTGAAAATAATATAAGATATGATAAATTATATATGCATATTGAAAAGCGTATAATAATTTTTAAAAACACAATATATATGATTGTTATTTTGTAAATCTAAATTAAAATTATATGTATTAAAATTGTCAATATAAAAAATTAAAATTAGTGTGTATTACTGCTTTATAAATTAAATACTTCATTAATAAATATTGATAAAATATTACAAAATATTGGACAAAGATACGTCTAAGATATAAATACGTTACCCAAATTAAAATATTAGTGTATAATAAAGTGTAACAATATAAGACTTGTTAAGTTAAGATTGTTCCTACTTTAATATTTGGTAAAAATTATTTTCACTTATATATTTATCGTAGGTTATATCTATTGTTACATTAAGATTTCGATCTTTTCAATATATCCACTAACGTCTATCATGTATGGTGTTTGACCTTTTTCATAAATTTAGAATACAAATTAAAATATAAGTTCACGTCTAATTTAAATTTAAAAAATTAATTTATTAAGTACAATTTATATTTATTTACATATATTATATTTTAATTACATGTCTAGATTATACAAACCAACAAAATTAATTTATAAAGTACAATTTTATCTATTTACATATTATATTTTAATTACATATCTAGATTACGTAGAATCTCTAACCACTTGAAGATGCTAAATCGAAATCTACCTTTTTTTTTATATAAAATATGGAATTCTAGCAACATTTATGTTTATTGGTCAAGCATAAGGGAAATAGTTGGACATGAGAAAAACGATGGTATAGAGTTGTGTCACTAAAACTCGTGTATGAGCGGTGAGGACCATGAAACAAAGTTTAAATATGCTTATATATAAAATAGTAACTCTGAACCACAAATTTGTAAGATTCCTACAATGCATAGTGTCCTTTCATTAAGAGTGTTAATACTTTGACATCTCTCTTGATAAAAATCTAATCAATTTACAACGACTTATGTATTATGAGATACAATTACAAAAATATCCTTCACTGGTTATATCTGTTCTTAATAAAATACCAGTCAAAATATCTTTTGCATTACTCATTTGATTAATCGTGAATGAATGATAAAAGTCATAGATGTCTTTACTGTACTATTGTACACAGAGTATTAGCATTCATTTCCATCAATCTCGCATTTCATTTTTTGATGATTATGTATCTGTTATGCTAGGAACTAGTATTGCTAGATATCCAATTAGGTATAGGATAAAGTGTTGGTAAGTGCAAGGCTATACAACCCTGTAATCTATGACTAGAGTGATGTATCAAACCAAACATTAATCATATTTTGAGTGCTATGATATGAAATATTAACATTGAGTCAAACTTGAGGTTAGAAGGTCAGAATAATGTTTCTTTTTATGGTTCATTAAAAAAAAATCTTTTATGGATTTTGGTTGGGTTCTGTAATAGTTCTCGTTAGTTTTCAGATGAGCTGTTTTTCTAAAAAAAAATTAATGAACAAGCACCAAATTGGTTCCAGTTAAACTGGCCAAACCAACAGTTTTGGTTTTTAAAAGAATATCTTTCAGCCATTAGAAAAATGCTGCAATGGTAGGAGAGAGAGAGAGAGAGAGAGAGAGAGAGAGAGAGAGAGAGAGAGAGAGAGGAAACAATGTTCCATAACTGTAACGTATTTAGCAGAAGACAAAAAATCTTAAAAGCTTCTGAAGAGTGCGTGCACTAACAATAATTATTCCTATAGTTTTCCTATCTGCTGGAATACATGAAGAGAAATTGTGTAAGTTAGGTGGAGTACAAAACCCCTTCAAAGAATCACTTCACTCGAGTTTCATGGAGTTATACCCTTATTGAATCTCTAAGGTGCCAAAGGCTGGAGCATTGGTAACCCACAGGGGAAGGGTGTGAGTATCTATCCTAGCAACTAGTGGGGGTTATTTTGTTTATAAGGTTGAGTAGAATGCTCTCCAACTCCTCCCCATTGCTCCAATCATGAACTTCTGCAGAAACTAATTTTGGGTCACTTTGAATCCGATTCCAGAGCGGATAATTTTTCCTTGGCATCACAAAATCATCTCCCTTCAGCCTCAAAGTTGGGCAATAATCACCTATTCCATCTCCAAGGTAGATGATTTTTCTTTCATTTCCAGGAAAAGAACCTCGAATTTGGGCTATCACTAAACCCTAAGATAGAAAAAAGAAAACAACCAAAGTACATACTTAAAAAACAAAGTTCATTTTTTAAACTAAATTAAATCTTAAAACATATATCTAATCTGAAATAATTACTATCAAATTATCCATCCTCTATTAGTACAATTTAATTAAAGTTAATGTAAGTTTTCATGCAACAAGTTAATGCTGACCTTGCACATGTTGGGAGGGCAGAGGGAACAAGCATGAGGAGACAAGGCTGAATCATGAAAGGGAGTGACACGAAGACGTCCTTCATTATCTACAAAACCAGGGTTTGTATTAATCTGTGAAAAGCAACCTAATAAACCATGGTGTTCCAGAATGGTCCGAATGGAAAACATATTTGCGTCACTGATTATCCTCAAGTCGCACCTGCAAATTCAAATATCACATCGTTATATTAAAGCAAAGCCAAAATTAACGATGAAAAACAGAGAAGAGGATTAAATTACCCAAGAGCGTGTGCAGATTTGATGGCTGAAACAATGTTGGGATGCAAGGGGGTTCTTTTAAGGCACTCTGCAATGTGATCGACAGTGATTCCGTTCGAGTGGAGCTCCTCCATGATCCTATCCTGAATCAATTTTCAAACGCGAAAATGAGCATGGAGGGTTTCAATTACAGGATTCATGCACGAGTATCAGAGAAAAATGGTACTGTTACTGTACCATGAGAGAGGTCCAAGGCATGGTTTGCCTAAGTTGGTTGAATAGGTGGGTGAGACCCAACTCCTTGATGATCCATCTGTCACTGTCATCGTCCATTATGGTTCGATCAAAGTCGAAAACCACCGTCGCCGCCACGCTTCCGCCCATTTTAGCCCTTCTCAATCTACCACTGATTGAAAAGATTGAAGGTGTAATGATAATAAAATACCCTAAGAAAAGGGTGTGAATTTTTTTCTCAAAAAACAAAATACAATTTAAAAAAAATTAAAAAAAGTACCAAAACCAACCCTACTTCATTTTGTTTATACAACATCTTTTTGCAGCCAATACACGGAAAAATCGATTGGAACTTTAATTTGTTAGGACTGGATTTTTACCTAATTTCTATGTTTTAAAAATATTTCATAAAATTAAAATTATTTTTTAATTATTATATTAATATTAATATATTGAATGTAACTTAAAATCAATTTATATCAATAATTTAAGATATTAAATAAATAAGAAATAATAGTAACAATGTTAATGTAATAATAATTTAACAATTAGGAGGTACTGTAATTATTAAAGCAATTTAAATTTAAAAGTAATACTATTCATTAAAATCAATTATTAAAATAAGTTGGTAAATTTATTATTAATGTGAACTTGTGTTCATTAATAAGTTTAGTTTATTATCATTAACCATAAATGTTTAAATTTATTAATAGGTTGAAATTTAATAATAAATTAAATGAAAAACAATGTTAGAAATAAAACTATTGTTTAAATGACAAGAGAGCTAATTATTTAATATTGTTAATAGAAATATGTGTTTTACTTTTATATACAATTATATTATTTTTTTCTCTTTAACCAACAAGTGAAAAAATGAATAAATGATAATTTATTATTATGAATGTAATTGTGACATTTTATAATAAAAGTACTAATTATTATATCGAGTGAAAAAAAAACTTGATATAATAAATGAAAAAGATAAATTTATTATGGATCTATCACAATTATTGAAACGCATTAGTACAGATATAATTATAATGAAGAGTTATTAAGTTTGTTATTAAAAGATTTGTCATAGTAAAATTTTACTATGTTTCACACCCGACATGTTTGTTAGTTCCACATTTTTTTTAATCAACAAAGTATAAATATTTATAAATATAATAGAATATTTGGAGGTACTCCAACCTGTATACACAAATAAAAAAAAAAAAAAAGTTGTACATATTCCCTGCCACCTATGTTATGGTAAGACCTGTACATTTGATGTAAAAAAGCCCTACCATCGAACCATCCAATTTGTTCTCAACTCAAAAAATTCAAACAAGCATATATTAATATGTATTTGCAAGGAAAACATATTTAATAAAACATACATAAATACAATTACTTTAATCCTTGTAATACTCTCCAACCTTAATAACTATGTTTACGCGGTTCAAATGAAGGTTGTTGTCGAGATGGAGATAGTTGATGTTATGATTTTCCTCACTATTTCATATTGTGTCCTTCACATATGTTACTGGAGTTCCTTTCTCTTACCATACATACTTTCCTTTACTTTCGTCTTTTTGATTGTTTAGCTACTTGCATTTGTCCACTTTATAACCTATGAAAATTTTAAAAAACCATACATGCTTTCCAAAGTAAAGTGAATTTTTAGTTCAATCCACACAATTTAACAACTCCTCCATTATTTCTAAAGGATGTTTATGATTTTACAACCCTTATCATTAAGTACAATTTTTACCTTAATTTTAAGCTCTGCACCATGTTTAGATACCAATCAGTGTATGACATATTACATTTACGTTTAACTATGCATTCAATCGAGTCATAGTACTTCTTCTACATCTACCTTCCTATTCCTAAAAATAAGCTTGTTTCTTTGAATCTAAATGATCCAAATAATTGTTATATACATTCCTTTCCATATTCTATTTTAATTTCTATACTATATGAAGTATACCGATCGAAATTGATTGTCTTTAGCTCTACAAATATATTGCATTAATGATTAATTATTGGATTTGATTACCTAAAATATATTGCACTAATGGTTAATCAATGGACGTGGCTATCAGAAGTCTTATAAGTAGACAACTGATGTCCAGGTATAATCATCTTCTTCTATCCTAATAAAATATAGATTTCTTTATGAAACATATCTGACTTGAGCGTTGGAATGTCTTCTGCAGGTCAACCACCAATCGGAAAGGATTACTTAAAGAGTTGGCCAATCGGAACATAACAAAAAAGAACGACCGACCCTCGGACAAATGTTACCGAACAATTTTCATTTAATTCCATTAGATAAAAGTGTTGAAAACAAACTTAAACTTACTTATGATTTACTAAGGTTAATGTTACTGGGATCAAAGATCTAGGAAAATGCAATTTTTTTTTCAACAACTGTCATAAATAAATATATAAATATATATATATATATATATATATATGTATGTATGTGTGGGAAGATTTCAACCGATGAAATTATCACTGAAATCATGGTCATCATTTTATCTATTAACAAGTTCATGTGAAATGGTACAAGGATCCAAAGCAAGGGAGTACTAAAATGTGTATAATTTCTTATCTGTAAATAGTGTCTTTTTATAAGTGTTTGAATGATTCCTCACAGAGACATGTTTTCATAGTTCCGAGGACTTTAAATAGCAATACAGGGGTGCCAATAGTGGGATCCATATGGACTGTGCTCGAAGCTCAAACGGCCCAAAATTAAACCATGAAATTGAAGATTGGAAAGCACCAACTGAACAGAAAAGAAGGCACAGCACAACATAAGGTTAAGAGTGAAAGCATAGAGTCAAACAGAGCATCCTTAGTGCTTGCTGGGTCGCAACGTACCGGCGGCGACGGAGAGCTATCTCAGCGATTTCCGATCACTGCACCGTTGATCTTCACAAGGCAACGCTCTTCCCCTCTTGTCTTCTTCTTCCCTTACCTCTGATATCTGCACTTGACATACTTTTCCTCGTTCCTTTGCTTTTGTATTTCCACTTCAGATCTCCTTTTCTCCTCTACCCGATCCTCTTCTCTCTTACTATCATGTCTTTCATTTTCTTCCCTAAATTCAACCACGTTCCATCTATACATGTATAGTCCAACTTTATTTTGTTTTATTTATTTGGTCGTAATGTGAAATGTTGATAATTTAGGGTTTTAACTTGGTGGCTATATTTTTTTTTTCTTGAAGTATCCTGGATTAGTGAAATTAACCCTTTTAAGAGACTGGAATGAAACTGTCATTGCTTGAGTTTTTTTTTTTTATGTACATGGTGTAATAATACTTTGATTTGTAGAACATTTTTTCTTTGTGAGACCGGTGTATTACTTTGTTGGGATGAGGGACGTTAAACTACTAAACCTTTACGTTTTATGGGATTGGGCTCTTTCTTCCTCTTTTATGTTTATTTAATTTAATTAATGTAATATAATTGAAGTTCTACTCATTTGAAATCAGTGATTAGCTCCATCCTAAGCCTTTTTTAGTTATTTGTAAAACATCGTCTGCAGGGTCAATCCCCCCTAATTTAGGAATAGAAATGGACGAGGCAGCAACATTTAGTGTCAATGGTCATGTCGTGTTCTAGGTATTACCTGAAGATTATGCCTTTAGCTGTTCATTTCGTTTTATTCTTACTACTAAGTGTTGGTAGAAGAATTTATGGTATGCAGGGTCTGTTTAAATGAACATCTATGTAACTCATGTCTGAGAAGGAAATAAAAGTTGTAAGCTAAAATTGGCTCATGGACGAGATAAAAGTTGTTGTGTAGAGAAGTTAATGTGAGAGAATTTCTACAGATTAGTTTATGCATAAGCTAGTTTTAGCCTATGAAGAAATTCATTTCATTTTTTCTTTCTTATTTCTAGAAATGGTTTTGAAGAAGTTTATTCAAATAAGTCCTTGAAGTATATCTCTGCCCTTATGCCTTATTCTGACATGGCTTTTTCCCTTTGGTCTAGGGTTTTGTTATACTTAACTTGAAGACTTTATGGCATCAAAGTTGCACCAGCTGCAGTCCAAAGCATGTCAAGCATCTCAATTTGTAGCCAAACACGGGAGTAACTACTACAGGCAATTGTTGGAGCAGAACAAGCAATATATTCAGGAGCCTCCTACAGTAGAGAAATGCAACCTGCTTTCAAAACAATTGTTTTACACCCGTCTTGCTAGGTTATATTTTCTCCAACTACCTCTTTTCCTCCAAATAACGTGTATGTCTGGATTCACTGTATGAAATTCTTTAACTTTATATGATTGCTGGCCATCTTTTATTGACTCAAATACTTTTTGACACAGTTAAATACACAAGGATGTTTCTCGTCATGTCTTGTCTAATGGCTTCTTCCTTCTCCTTTATAGACTAGGGAAAACGTCACGAGTGATTTGGTTGCAAGGTTCTAACCTACTTTATACTGCTGTATCATGTTGGTTTTGCCCTCTTTTGACGGAGTTTCTAAAATATGGACTATGAGATATAAGCTCTCAGTCATCAATATCCTAAATTACAACAAATTTGTAGTTAGTGATCAATTTGTTGGATATTTTCCAGTTTTATGTTGAATGTGGAGGGCTTATTATATCTGGATTGGCTGTGAGGCCATACTTGGAGTTAATGTCTTACGAGTAGTACATGGGGAAAAATCTGCATTTTCTTCGGAGTTTGTATACAAAAGAAACTCTTTTGACGGAGTTTCTAAAATATGGACTTTGATATAAGCTCTCAGTCATCAATATCCTAAATTACAACAAATTTGTTGTTAGTGGTCATTTTTTTTGGATATTTACCAGTTTTATGTTTAATGTGGAGGGTCTGGATTGGCTGTGAGGCCATACTTGGAGTTAATGTCTTACGAGTAGTACATGGGGAAAAATCTGCATTTTCTTCTGAGTTTGTATTCTAAGGAAATGGGGTAAGAGGGACTCTGCCATTTTTATTAAAAAATTCTATTTGACGTGGTTCCTATGATCTCCTGGGTTCAGTCAAGCTATAATTCGAAGCTAATGGGGGCTTATATTGATCACGTGGTATAGAATATGGATTATGTTTGGGAAAAAATTGCTTATTTATTGTAAGATTTGTCCTAAAGATGGAAAGATAATCAGATATTCTTCCAAAATAGGCTGAGCAAAACAAGCACCAAGTCAGTCAACCCATTAACTGGGACTTAGGTTGGATAAGTTCACACCACGTAGGCATGGAAGGTTGATTGTTTGAGTCAATTAGGGTCGGGGAAGCTGACTCTTGAAAAAGGAAATGGACAGTGTATGAAACAATTTTCTTTTTGCAAGGTTAGGGGTTGGTAGATACTAGAAATGTCCTGGTGATCATGTACTTAAAATCATTCCTTTCTTAGTACTGAATTTGATTCAGCCCAGAAATCTGTATAGACCATAGACACTAAAGTTAGTATTGGATCTTAAGGGAAATATGGGGATAGGATGTGTAGGTATTGGAAGATAAGGGGTTTGTGTGGAAGAGTCCACCTCGGATAGTCTTGTGTTGGGAAGAAACACCAGAAATATATTCGGTATATAATTTAGTGAATATTGTTGTAAATGCATTAGATGTACAAACTACAAGCCTGTAGATTTTGAGAATCAACTGGACTCTTTGAGTTTTAAGGTATGAAGTTATTGACTTTCGACTGACTTTTGGACTGACCATAATTAATGGAATCTCTACATACAAAGTATACCAAACTACGCATCCCTTTAGCAGCTCTATACATTTGCAATAAACAATGAGCATTTAGTAAAGTAAATATCTATTACAGTTTAATAATTATTTATCTACATCACATTTTTGGAAACGAAGTCTCATTGCTTCAAAAAATTTCTATATGGTGGTCATGCTGATTGGCACCTGGTGCTTGTTATTGGTGCGATTTTTACTTGTTTAGGCTTAATTTAGTAACCTGATTTGAATTGACACCAAACCAGCCCACAATTGAATGTACAGCAAAGTTTTATGTGCATTTTTATGACAGACAATAACTGCTTCCAATGGTTTCCAAACCCTTCACTGGGACTTGACTGTTACGTGCTTAAGTAAACTAATGCCAAATACAGATCGCTGTTCTTTACATTCTTGTGACATCTGTACTGAGTTTGTATTGTTGACATTTTGTCTACTAAGTGCTTCTGGAAGTGTGTAAATTTAGTCCTGATCTTAAATAACTTTTTTACGTGACTTTGATTTTATATAAAATTGAAATATTGTTAATGGGAAACTTTTTTATTGGAATTATCTGATTGCCAGTATATGATTTTAAGTGCTTGGTTTATAACTGTATTACTTGAATTTAGCACCTCAAAATGTGCTTGCCATTGTAAGCACCTATAGTTTTTTAACTCTATAACTTATTGTTAGTTGTGTGTAATTACATTAACAATTCTGAGCTCTTCTGTTTCTGCCCGCATCAATGGTTCAACAACTTGTTGCTTGTAGTTTTTATGTTCAAGCCCACTTCTGTCGGGTACTCAGCCAATGCTGCCTCTCGAGCTATGCCATCTATTTGTGAATTTCAATGCTTATGTGGCTGATTTTTATATGTTTTTCAAATCTGGCATGTGTTTCTAATTATGCTAGTTTTCACCACGATCTTTAGTGAATTAGCAAAACAATGATATAATGAACTCTGAAAACCTGTTATGGATGCTGTATTGTCTCTATGTAGTAAAGTCTGTTGTATGCCAATTTAATTTTGGGTGCCCTCGCTTCTACATATAACTCTTCAAATCTTTTGCAGTATTCCGGGTCGTACAGAGTCATTCTGGAAGGAACTTGATTATGCCAAGAATTTATGGAAGAACAGGAAAGACCTAAAGGTAGAAGATGCAGGTATTGCTGCTTTGTTTGGCCTGGAATGCTTTGCATGGTTTTGCGGTGGTGAGATTGTTGGAAGGGGATTTACTTTCACCGGTTATTATGTCTGACAAAAACCACTTGAAAGTGTAGATTTTATCAGTGCTTATATACTCCTAAAAGCCAGCTGCTCTGGACATAAACTGGATTATAGCATTCTACAAGGCAATTTTTGTTATTCTGAGTTTTTTTTTTCATTTGGGGAGAAAGGTTTAAACCCTAGTGGTTAGCTTTCATAAGTCACAATAACCCCTTGTAGTTGAAAGCGGGATGAACCTTGCGTTGTTCTATTGTGATGTCGGAGAGCTGGTAATTTTATTTCACAAGAATGGATTGATGATGTACTCCCGCAATTGTTTTGAAAATTTATATTGCTGTTTATTCCAATCAACTATTAAACCAAAATAAAACTTTATCCCAGAGAATTGATAGTGCCATGCGCAAAAGTGATGACGTATTTTGAACTTGAAGTGTTATTTGTTATTCCTTAGAAATTCGATCCCTCTTAGACACTTATTTTATTTGTTAAAAATTTATTAAAATCACAATCTCTTTGGAATTTACATACTATTAATTGAACTTACTCATACCGTTATGGTTTTTAATGTCTAGAATTGAGTGTATTATATAGTGTGTTATTATCAATTTTCTTGTTGCACTTGATTGGACTTGATGATGAGATGCAAAGGATCATTATAAGAGCGTAGGTGTTCTGTTACCTATTTACCATGCCCAGGGCACAAGAAATCATTCCTTTAAATATTTTTCACTTAAAACCTTCTGTAAAGCTATAAATTGTTTGACCATTTTTTAGAAGACATTCTTTGAATTAGAGATAATTTGTCAAACATTTTATCATTTTATTTTTTAAATTTTAATGAAGAGATGCAAAAATATAATATTACTGTAGTGCAACTTTTATTTTAAAATATTTATATATATGGTAATATTTTACATTAATTATTTCTTATGAGTTTCAAATGTAAAAATAATATGGTATACATTGGTTGTTAATGTAATAATAAAATATGTTATTTTGACATCAAATAAACCTTTAATACAGTATTCTTAACTGTATTTTATTTTATGATTTTAATAATAATAATTATTTTGACAGACTATTGTTATTATTACTGTCGTCTAATAGATGGAAATATTTTATTCAATAAATCATTTTATTAATGTCCTATTTGAATGGAAATAATTACTGTTTTATAACGGAAACTTTTAGCACTATATTAAATAAGCAATAAAGTAAAGGTTTAACTTCTCATTGAAAAGGTTTCACTTAGGTCTTAATTTTTGAAAAAGTGTTTATAAGTTTTAAATTTTGTAATTAATGTTATTAATGATTTTGTTAAAAAAAAGATTGAAACATTTTTTTTTAAATTATGATATAATTAAAATCTTTAAAAAAACAAAAATAAACTTTTTGACCAAAGTAAAAATCAAACGAATAATTAAACTTAAAATAAAATAAGTCATCATGAGAATGAAGGCAATACACATGCAAGATCATGACACAGGACAAAAAGTTAAGAGGTCGTGGATTTTATTATTATTTATTGAGAAAATAAAAATATAAAATATAAAAAAAAATTCTTAAATAGTTTTAATTTTGTATGTGACCTTTAATAACTTTTTATAATAATATAAATTGTAATTGTATTAGAAATTAATGATTAAATAGTTGTTAGGTTTAGAGTACTGTTGATGAGAATGATTATGAGAATAATGAATAGAGAACCCATTAACGTAAAGTCCGATAATCATAAATAGTATCACTGTAATAAAAGTATTGCAAATTTTAAAATTTAATGCCTGCAACATAATTTTATCCTAAAGGAACATCGATTTAATGTGTTAAATATACAAAAAGTCGTTTTAATGTAAACAAACTTATTTTTAGTATTAAAATACTTTATTTTTTAAAATTTGAGGAAACAAAATCGAAAATTATTCTAAATTTCAAAAACTAAAAATATAACGGAATCTTTCTTCTTTTTCATATTTTTAACGAAACGGGAATAATATAAAGTTCTTTAAATAATATTGTCTAAGAAATCACAATTAAAATTATAAAACTAGTGATACTTTTAGTCAATTAATATATATGTGTGTGTATAAAATGTAGATATAAGATTGGCTTGGACTGTAAGGAAAATAAAGTAGATTGTAAATTTGATTATCTCAATTAACAAAAGTTACCATAATATGTGTCGGAAAAAAAAATCGTAATCAAATATTAAAAAAAATTAATAAAATGCGTGAAAATATAATCTTTAGACCATACGTTAATGTGTTATGAGACTCTTAATTTTGTAACAAATATATCAGAAGTTTTGATATAAAATAATTTATAATTTAATGTCTTGTAATATTTAAAAACGAAACTGTATCCTTTCATAAATACAAATAATGTTCTGTTTTAAAACTTAGGAAAAAACGAGAGCATAACGCATGTCTTATGCAATGTTATGTTACATCGGTGGTCGCTCTCAGTAACTTTAGTGTAAAAGGTGGAAAAGGTTTGTCGCTTAAAGGAGTGATAATAATTTTACCAATAAAAGTGAAGAGAATATTAAAAATTGAGTGGTGTGACTAGGAAAGTGTCTATGGGTAAAGAGGAAAATAGTATCACTCATATCATATCCACCTATTAAAGCAATTGACCATTTGATTCATTAGTCACATTGATTGACAAAAACCATGCAACTCAAAAATATTTAAATTAAATTCTTAATTTAAATGCTGTTATCTATGGTTAAAAAAAAACTACAATTTGTACATTCAAAGATAAATTATTGTTGAGTGCGAGATTTGTACTTTATATTTTATGTAAAAGATAACAAAACATACTATTATTTGTTTATTTATTTCTATATCAATATTTTTAAATAAGTTCATATTACTTATCAATAAACTTTCATTTATGTTGATATTTCAAAATCTAACTATAATTATCACATAAAAATATATTTAAACAAATAAAAATAAATGATAAGAAAACTTTCAAAAAGAAAAAAAACAAAACATAAGGAGATTAAATTTTGTTTAAAAAAATTACACTAGAAGATTTGTATTTTTATCGAGAAAAAATTGTACGAAGGTTTGTAATTTTTATCAAAAAAAAGTTACATGAGTAATAATACTTGATACGCGGGGACCAAGGCTAATTAGTTTAGTATAGTATTTCTTTTACTTTTATTAAAAACATGTGTAAAAGGTGTTAGGCATGTGCTAGATAGGAGGGACTTTTAGTCCTATATATATAGACATGCCACCACCTCTTGTGAAGGACTTTTGAGAATAATGAATTAAACTTTCTGTAGAGAGAACTCCAGAAATTAATTCCCTTGAAAGTCAAGACTAGAGAATCCCAGAGGATCTCCTCTAGCCACCTTCCATCTCACACTATCATTCTTTCATATTCCATTATTGGATTCTCTCTCCTCCGTAGCATCCAGCTCACGCCACTCTTACCAATTACTAGCGTCCTCGTGGTTTGCGCCTACGTCGCTGCCACGCGTGCCTGTGACTCCAACGCTACTCATCATTTTTCTCTCAATCATTCGAGAGAATAAACCATCACTCTCGCGTTCTTCTTTCTTCCAGTGCATCTCCTCCAGCAATCCTTTTCCTCACAGATCTACCATCACAAATCCTCACGTAAGTCATCTCCACCGATCCATATCTCAGATTTTCCTTGTCCTTGCCTTTTCACACCTTCGCACCGATCCAACCTTTGTTTGGTGTTCTATCTTTGCTTCCACCATCGTTATTCACCCATTTACTGAGTCAAATCATAATTTCTTTCCATTTCATTGATTTAATCGTTGAATCCTTCTTTTCCACCGATTAAATCCTTCCTTACCTTCAACCCTAGAGTTTTCACCGATTAATCCTCCGAAACCTAGGGTTCTCGATTAAATCTGCTTCTTTCCGCTGCGCATCGATGTCAAGGAGGCCTCGAGGAGTCCAAATCTCTCAAGTTTCGTTTTCTCCTCGGAGCGTCGCCTATCAATACTTTTTTTTAATATTAGGGAATATAAGCCTTGAGGTGCAAAATAAGTTAAATTTTTTGTATAATATTATTTATATGTTTTTTTTTTATTTGTGAACATGTTTTTACTTGAAGAAATTATTTTCCTATTATGTGATTCCAAACACAAAATTATCCATACAGTGATTTCTTTCAGAAAAATGATAATATTTAATTTAACACCATCACCGTAACAACAAATGAATTAAATTGATCAATAATATTAAATATGCCAAATTTCTACATAGAAATCACAGTATAACAGAATTCACTATTACTTATTAGAAGTCCCTGTTTTGAAATATTTAATATTAATTTTATAACTTAAATACTATTCTGAACTCTGTTTTTGTCTAATTTGTTCAATGTGACTCTACTTTTTGCATATTAAATAGGTCATAATTTTCGTCAATTTTGATCAATTTGATTTTTTTAGTAACAATATTTAAATCGTTAACAAAATATTGTACAAAGTAACACTATTTGCATGTGTCTTGTGTTTCATTAGTGTGAAAATCATTTTTAGGATATCATTTGTGCTGATTGGGATTGTCAAATTTGGTGAAGATTGAAGCAGTGAGTGTTGTATGGTGGATTTTGAGAATTCTCTTTCGAAATTTGAAGAGATTGATGATGGACAAACTCTATTACAAACTGCACTATAAACTTTATCACGAGTTACATCACCAATTTTATAACAGTGAGACTTTATCAATATTTTGTTTGATTGGTATAATTTTTTTTACATACTTTTAATGAAAAAGGTAATATTTTTTTATTATGATATTTGAAAGTTTTATATTTTTTGTCACATTAGTATATTTCATTAAGGAAGTTTATTAAACACATTTTAATTTTATAATCTAATGATGGCCATGTAGCAAAGAAGCTCTCTATTGGAATATTTTAAAAAATTATGTACGATTTAACTAAAAATGTTTAACTAAAAGGAATAACACATTTTTGAAGGAGAATTTTATAAATAAATACGAGTGTGAAATGAGAGGTACATGAGATGGAATATGACACTTGGAAGCTAGCTAGCATGTAAAGCTAAGTGGAAAGATGATTTGATAGAGAATTAATTAGTAGTAGGGTTTGGTGAAGATGAGAAAGAATATTGATAAATGAATAAAGATGAGATGGAAAAGGCCAAAGCAATGTGTTTGAAGATCATTAATCATTGGAGTCAAATGAAAGCCAAGCAACCTTCCATTTTTTAACTTCTAAGCTCCCTCTTCATAAACACAACTAAATTCACACTAATTAATTACAAAAGGATAAATAAATAATTATAATCTTTTTTCAACGAGAGACATATATATCAATAAATAACATGAGATCG